TACTGAAGCTTCTTGTTTTCTCTTTTCGTTTTTTTCCTTCCTTTTTATATTTTTCTCGCTCTCTCTATTTTAAATGTCAATATCCCCCTTTCTCTCTCTTTTTGCACGTAAATCTCCACCATTTTTGCCTATCAAACACCCTCCTTCTCTCTCTTCCTCTTTTTCATGTCAATCTCCATTCTCTCTCTCTCTCTCTCTCTCTCTCTCTCTCTCTCTCTCTCTCTCATATTCTAGACATTCAAAAGTGACGATGGCCTCAAGATTAACGCAAAAAAAAAGTTTTTGGAAAGCACACTTTTTGAGTGGCGCAGAAGCTTTTTAAGATGAAGCTTTTATATTTATGCAAGACAACGCTCATTTACCGTCTGCAAAGTTGAATGTTGTCAATCTTGCCAAACCAAAAAGATTTCAAAGTCAATGGAATGGTTCCCAGTCACTCCATATAATAATCCAAAAGTAAACTTGCGGTCCATTATTAAAATAGACGTGTATGTAAATGAAAGACAATATTCAAAGAAGATCCTTCGGAAGAAATAAAAATACTGTTTGTCATGTTAAAGTCAAAGCCAGGAAAATAATCAAATCAAACGATGAAAAATGCAGAAGACAATGAAATGTCAATGAGTTCAGATTAACATTACATAATTTATTTAGGTAACGGGGGATATTGTATGAATTAAATAGGTGTATATGGTTGACATTTTATGGTAATTTATGCTTACAAATTTACATTGTACTTTGCATAATGAAACTTAACACCCCACCAAACAAGTTGTTATTAATATTTCTAATAATTACATGGTTAATTTCAATACAAAAGTACCAAGACTGTGACTAAAATATTTCTCTTTCATTTATATGTATATATATATATATATATATATATATATATATATATATATATATATATATATATATATACACACACAGACTGTGTCACCCCAAATCCGGACCATGAAGAAATTATTCTCTCTTATACCTACTTTCAACTATTTCCACCGAAGTATTTCCTTTTATGTTCTTGACAAATAAATTTAACATTTGCTATATTTAAGGAGGTGTTTTCTTCTGTTATCAAGAATCCCACATTATTTTTCTCATAATCTATTATTTTAAGTCCGAAAGTCTCCGGAATACTAATTTTCAAATAAAACGACATAATTTGTCGCAAAGATGGATGCTGATCCAGCAGCAACATTGTAACGCAAACGACGCTTGTTGACGGTTACAAAAAAATTAATCGAAATTTAATCTTAGATGTTTACCTCTGTCTCTCCCTCTCTCTCTACACACACACACACACACACACACATATATATATATATATATATATATATATATAATCTTAATCGAAATGAAATTCTCAGGCAGAAATATGTCTTCAAATTTTTCGGTTTTTACTGTCATCGTTTTCATCTGGAACATGAAACTCTCATCGCATTTATATTTCAGGAGGGACTTCCATCACGTACATAAGATAACCCTAGTAACTTTAAACGTCTTTTTCATCTCAGCTTATGACGTAAGGCGAGAAGCCATGTGGCTAGAATCTTGCGTTCTCAGACCCTGACATATGGAAGTTGGGAATTTACTGACCGGATCTATCAACGTCATACGTATCTTGTTATCAAGATTTCTACACATTTGAAGCCAGTGTAATTATTAATCAAATCATTGCTGAAAAACGTACCTAAATTCAACTCTCTACATATTAAATCATTAGACCTATAAAAATAACATTATGTTGGGAATTGCAATAAAAAATTGTCCTGACTATGACGAGAAAGTAAATTCGGCAGCAAGGCCTCTGATCGTGAGATTGGAGGTTATCAGAATCGTGGAACCACCTTTAACTGACGTTGTTCCCAAGTCCGCCCTGACCCTGGGTGGTAGCACCTGTTAGGGTCTCACCTATGGGCAAATAGTGAACTCCCAAACAAAAATCCACAGTACATTTTTATAATAAAAATTACCATTATAGCAAAATTACTAGCAATATATTTTATAAAAAATTATCAATATATTTTTGTAGTGAAATTACCATTAATACATTTTTAAAAAATTACCAACAATAAATTTTATGATCTACAAACTATATATCTAAATGCATAACTTTACTCTGAGAGTATAAAATTATATACAAAATATTTGTACTTGAAAGCAAAAATTACGTACCAAATATTTAAATTTCGGCACTAAATAACCCATAGATGTGTTGATATGCCGCTAAAGAAAATCAACCAAAAATAAAAAATAAAAAAATGGAAGTGTTCTTTATTCTTTAAGAAAAACATTACTGAATCTGCTGTATTCTGTTTTCTTTTTAAGTTTTAAATGAATTATGTCAGAAGTTTTCCAAAGCCGATTTACTTTCCAAGCAAAATGTTAACATTCTGAAATTGAGGTTGAACTGTGTGAATTTCTGCTAGAGGAAAAAAAATTATCATCTCACTTACATTCACACTAATATCCTCATCTTTATTGTTGTAACCTTTCTGGCGTTATCATCCAACCCTCTTCAGGTGTATGTCGATCCCGGTTAACTTTAGGAAATTTCGAACTGAAACCTTTATTTAATCTTGGGGGGGGGTAGATTGTTCTCATTCCGCTGTCACGTCGAAAGATACAGGGTGTGGTAGAAATACCGCCTACATAATGGTAAGACATTAATTGCAATGGTGTCTTCATCGTCCTACGCCAATCCATTTGGAAACACATCGAGTTATTAATAAGTTTCAAATAAAGAAAAAAAATATTACAAATTTTTAATGTAGAGGGCAATAATTTTAGCAAAATACAAAGGGATTATATACAAGTTGAAAATATTAGAGAATATTTATTGTAATGAGAAGTTTAACAATATGGTAATGAAGACGGAAACATGACCAGTCAAACATTAACTATTCTTGTAGCTATCGTACGGCATTCAAGATAAATATTTAAGGTGATCTCAAAAATTCTATCAACTTTGGCGAAATTTAGAACAACGTTTTTATTTTTTCAGTAAAGCCACTAAGACGCAAGGGGTTTACAGGGTGTGGAAAAATTAGGAACAGAAACATTAATAATGAGCGGGAAGAGAAAAAAAGTAATCAGGAAGACAGTAGATAAAGATTGACATTGCATTCAAATTTTTGGATATTAAAATTGGTTGCAAAGTATGGAGCCGGAAGGGCGTTTCACAACCGAGAAGTGCGAGAAAATAAACTGTTAGCATATAAGTTACGGCTACATCTAACCAGCTCAACTTTTAGTTTACAGTAACACTAAAAATAACTGTTTTCCAAGCGTAGCTGAGATGTGTCACAAAGCTAAAAGTGAGAATCGAATTCCCTAATAATTCGTAATTGATCTTACGAGACAAGCTTCCTAATTATTATGTCGAGGCGCCCAGTAACACTGAGAATGAATGAATGAGAAAGGTGTATTTTTGGTAAATTTTTATATCAACCGTAAAAAAAGGAAATAAATGGCTACTTGCAAAAGTGACAAGGAATCTTTTTGAGAAAAGCTTTTTTAGTGCTTAGTTTTAAGTTTAGCATTCGATCAATTCAGAGATATTTCCGAAGTATGAATGTTTCCGAAAGATTAAATTGAACAGGGGTAGAAGGTTATCCCTCGTTTCCTTTTTAAGATTGGGTTTCTAGTTCCTTCTAAAGTCTACTTTATCTCTATGCGTCTAATGTCTCTGCCTGAACTCTGAAATTTTATTTAATAATTATTTATTTTTGTTCATTCATTCGTCTATCTCCCGTTTTTTCAATCTTCCACGGTCTTTCGAACGGGATTAGAAGTTTATACTTTATTTTCTTGTTAGGACTGCGTTTCGGGTTCCTTTTAATGTCTATTTTAAATCTATACTTCTAAAATCTCTACACCTAAATTCTGAAATTTTATTCACTATTTATTTTTCTTTAGGAAAGAACGCAACACACGGCCGACGTAACACACGTGTCAATTGGTAGGATAAAACCAACCTGTTCACGTTCCTTGTCAGTGGGTGAACAATCTAACGCTTGAGTAGATATATTCGCCTATCGTCCGGTTCACACTCCTCTCCGGTCTTTTGAACAGCAGTAGAAGTTTACTCTTTTTTTTCCTTTTTAGGATTGGGTTTCTGGTTCTTTCTAAAGTATTTTCTTTCTCTTTCACTCCCAGTAGCTCCTTACATCTTAGTGGCATTATCGCATTGTTTGGGGTGAATTGATTAAAAAAAATATGCGGATAAGAAAGAGATCAGAAGTAGAAGAAGGCATTTAATTATCGGCTAGTGCCAATATCAGCATTAGTCAGCCGTGTTCCTTTCAAGTTACTGCGGTACTAAGTTGTTTCTTTTGACGCAGGAGATTTTTAAAGCTTTTGGGGGGGTGTCGGCTCATTAATTAATTGTTTTTCGGATTAATTACTGACTCTTAGGCTTAATGGTTTTATTATTCTATCTGAGTGGACATGTACCTCAAACTCAAACTAGTTCAAGTACAGCTAATCAGGTACGCGCGTTATGATTTTTAAGCGCACTCCGGTTGGTTGCAAATTGTTTATGACGTCTCTTGTTATTGGCTAATTATTGTGTGAGGCTAGGTATATAGCCCACATTATTCTTAATCGTTACTTCGTTATTGGGGAGAGGATAAAGAGAAGGACGGGTAACAAAATCAAGGTATCAGAGAAGATGTCGATTGGCATTACACTTGAATATTTGAAGATTATAGTTATCAGGGAAGCAAGTAAGAGGAAGAGAATTCCACAGACAGGAAGTGCGAGAAAAGAAGCTGTTGGAGTAGAAGAGACGGTTACATTTAACCGTTTCGACAGTGAAAGGGTGGGACCGAGATGCCAATGTCTTACAGCCTTTTTCTCGTAAACCTTGCTTTAATTCCTGATAACCGAAATCTTTGTCCTCGTTAAGCAACGTCAAGCCTGGTCAGTACCTAAATGGGTCATGCTTGGAAATAACATCTGCTCTAAGTTTGGATGTATGTATGTTATAAAAGGCTTAAGGCCATAATATATTGAAACACCGGTTTCCATATAATCACCGAAGTTAAGCAACGTCGCGGCTGGTCAATACCTAGATGGGTGACTGCTTGGGAATATCAGGTGCTGTAAGTTTAGATGTATACATGGTATAAAGGGCTTACGGCCATATCACGTTGAAACACCGGTTTCAGTACAATCACCGCAGTTAAGCAACGTCGAGCATGGTCAATAGATAGATGGGTGACCACTTCGTAATACCAGTTGCTGTAAGTTTGCGTGTGCAGCGGAGGTAATGGATAATCGAGTTGCCCACTACTTTCTGGTGTTGAAGTCAGATAGTTTTGTTCGTACAATGTGTTTTTTTTTTTGGTTCTTTTTGACTGAAAACAAGTTAGGAAGAATAAATGATGTTCAGCTTCCGAAGCGTAAATAATGGTGCCACATTGAAATGCTGACAATGAAAAATTATTAATTTTCAAGTCTTCCATATAAGCAATAATAATATAATAATAATAATAATAATAATAATAATACAGTAAAGTGTTCATAAAATATTTTCACGAGTTCTTCCTTTCAAAATTCAGCTCCGGTCTCAAAAGCTTTTCAACGTTTCAGCCAATATAAGACAAAGAACATTAGACAGGGAATGCATTTTTATTTGACGTAATGACAGCATTAGAGATATGAGTAATGTAGACTGATCTCAATGGTTTCTCACCTGCGTTCTATTGTTTACTAATTAACGCCCTAAGAATTTTCATAAACAGATAAGCATATAAGATTACCTTTGTCCTGCACGATCTTAATCCAAATCTCGTGAAAAGAAATTATTTCGCCTCGAGAGAGCATTATCTCTGTCTGTGTGTGTGTTTCTCTCTCTCTATCTATCTATCTATCTATCTATCTATCTATCTATATATATATATATATATAATTAAAAAATAAATAAATAATTATATTTATGCTCTACTTTTGTATCAAGCACTATTTTTAAAAATAATAACAAAAATACTAAAGAACTTTGGATTATTTACCTAACGAGTTCTTTCCTATTTTCTATATATTTTTTACACACACACACACACACACACACACATATACATATATATATATATATATATATATATATATATATATATATATATATATAATTGCTTTAAACGTTATTTTTAGTGGATATACATATTTAGGTTTGTTATAAACAGTATTTTTTTTTGTTTCGTCTACTCAGATATGGGTATCCACTAAAATATTGTTTAAAGAGATGTATAGATAAGTGGACACTGAGGTTAACAACAAGTGATGACAGTCTGTTTTATGTTTTAACACAATCTTCAAGCCATAAAGATGGTCTGAAGATTGCAGTCAAGTATTGCATTCAAGCACGAATTCTGTTACTTGTTCTTGGCCTAAGTGTCCACTTTTATATTTATGTAAGCTCTATCCCCGATAATCAGCATTATTAGCCATAAATATAACATACACTAAAAAATTTTTTTATATATATATATATATATATATATATATATATATATATATACACGTTTTATCTCTGATATTGAGTACTTAAATATCCATAAATATAGCATACATTAAAACTAAAATTTTTTATATATATATATATATATATATATATATATATATATATATATATATATACTAGCTGAGATAACATGCGTTGACCGGGTGTACATGGCTGCGATTGTATAACCGCACCCAGACAGGGAGTCTAGAAGGGTCTGCCTGCGTACCCGTTTGCATGCATCATCCGTTGGTATACTAAGCTACTCTCTCTTCATCTTTTTTTACGCTTGGCAAGTGTTTGATTTTTCTTAATAAAGGAATTCCATAGATAAAACCTTGTGTAGTCGTTGCTCGGGTTAAATTGTTTCAATGTTTTAGATATTCAGTAAATTTTCTATGGTTGTCATAACATTCAAATAGTATGGCATTGTTCACAAATAAAATAATTAAATAAAAACAGGGATGAAGCGTCAGAGTTTGATTCAAGTGCAAACGCATGAACGCCCCATCCTTCTTCGCACGTTTACTGTAAAGCTGGGATTAATAAGAGGTTCTTCGGGATTCAGTAATCCTTATCAAGCAATCTTTGCATCAAAGGTTGTTCAAATGCCAATTTAGGATGGAATCATACAAAGAAACTATTGGCGAAAATAGTAAAAGCAGATTTTGGACTTAGTTTGTCACAGATTTCATCCACTGAAATAATCTAAACCAGATATTCATGCAAGACAATTTGTGTGCCATGTGTAAATTACATGGCAAATTTTGAAAGTATCGGATCGGACGAAAAACTGGTTTTTTGAACAGTTTCTCGTAGTTTTTCGTTATACCCGGGAAAGCGAGCAGGAGTAAAAACACACTATATTATTTTTTGCTTGAAAATCGGATAAAAAATGAATGTCGTTAACCCCTAGAATAATTGAAAATATTTAGTAACCGTCTACCCAAGTAAGCGTTAAAATAATACAACTAACCTACCCATAATGCACCACTAACCAGCGTAAATAAATTTTCTTTCTATGTGCCGTCTCCTTTCAGGACGTAGGTGATCATGACTCTCCACTTGTCTCTATCCTTTGCTTATTTTGATATCTTTCCCCAATATATCAAGGTTGCTGAGCAGTTCAATCAGATCTTTCTGGCGTACTTTGTCGAAGGCCTTTGCATAGTCTATGAAACATAGATGCACGTCCTTCTGCATTTGTATCGCACTTTCTGATAACATTCTGAGCATGAATATCACGTTCCTTGTTCCGGTGTCTCGTATATCTAGATTAATTATAATTCTAGCGTTCTAAAAATACAGAATTTAGCTAAAGGAATCTTGTTTACCAGGCTACAACACCTACTTCTTGATAATGACTGAGATGATTAAAAGTATTTGAAGAAAAACATGGACTTTGGACAGTTTATCCCTAATTTTGATTTGTTTGTATAATACTTGTTAAGTATATTAGGCTAATAGAATAAAAATGAAACAGAACTTAAGAATTTAAGAAAACTCTAATCACAGATAAGAGAACTGAAACAACAGAAATGTGGTTCTACAGAAGGATGCTGAGAATACCATGGACCAAACATGTGAGCAACGAGTAAGTTTTTTAGAAAATGGAAATAAAAATGGCACTTATACATTGCTTCAGAAAGACAGTTGAAATATCTAGGGTACGCAATCAGGAAAGAGGGCTTGGAAAATTCAACACGCGCAGTACATATTGAAGTCAAGAGAGACAGAGGAAAGCAACGTATAAACAAGCTTGTGTAAATGATTGGCAGAACAGGGATTAGGAGAGATAGCAAAATGTCAAACTTTACTAAGGGCTACAAAAGACAGGAAATTGTGGAGAGCCATAATCGTCAACATCTTAAAAACAGGAAGAAGCATGTGCATTCAAATGAAACACCTATTGTGGGACAGGAGTTAGTTATTAATGATAGTGAACTAAATAGAAAAATCCAAAATGAGTGTGCGTGTGCGTGTAGATGTCTTTTTCGTGCATACATGTGTGCAAAATCCATATGAGCGATTGTGAAAGACCCTCGGCTTGATTAAATTATTAGATATGCCGTTGTATGGTCAAGTACACTTAAGGAATTTCTATGCTGTGTTCTGTTCAATGGGACACGTGCGACTGAAAGGTCTACCAGAGAGACACACGTCTATAATGCACCCTGTGACGGAAAGAGAAAAAAGAAAATGAATTTTGCCCTTTTCATGGCTGTGTTCTGAACAGAAGCCGAGATGCCAGGGGACCAATAACATTGTAGATTCTTCGATTTTATCAAGAATCTCTAAATATAAAGGGTCAGACCAGATGAGCAATACGAACAATGTCTAATTTTTGTTTAATTTTATGTCTGTAATTTTACTATGCACATACGGTATGATGTTTGAAAATCCTTGATTATTATTTCAACATCTTTCATAATAAACATAGGGAATGTAAAGCGATGTCTATATAGCAAATGAAAACGCCTTAACTAGTTAGTTGGCAGGATCCTTTTATAATTGACTGACTACTCGTGTCAGGACGAGTGTTTATATATTGTTTTTTTTGAACCACGAGAAAAATTTTTTTTTAGTAATAATCTTTTGGGGAGGTTCGTTGTCTTGGATGTTTTTTCTTTCAATTTTTTTTAGTGATTGCAACACCATTTAGCGGTCGTTGACAAACGTTCCTTGGGAGACAAGAGGGTTAATCTCACAATAGCATATAATTTTAATCTACTGAAAACTGCTACAAGTGTAGCGTTACAGCCCAGACCATTCACCAAATGCGTTCTCAGGGTTCAGCTTCTTCTAGTCAAGCGCATGTGGCTTAAAAATAACCCTTCGACCAGATTGTCACACATGAATTAAAAACCATTAGAATTTGTAGCAGTAAAAAAGATTTTATTTTCGGGTTGTAACCTACTGCTATAGATGAGCGAAACTGAGATTAAGCATAGGTTATGGGAGAGGTGAACAGTCTAACGGGACTCTTCCCTTTCGCGTTGTTTCGCGTAGTTCATTTCCGTCTCTACCTTTTTTGTGTGTAGTGACCACTGTCTTATAGAGACATTGTTCGTTCTCTTTATATATTTGTGACTCTTTGTCCGAGCCGCTTGCCATGTATTTGTGAAGTCTACTTCACTTAGCTAAAAAATCAACGGCAAAATAAATATCCGAATCCATTTTTGTGACAGCTCAGCTGTTTTCCATTTAATAAGATATCAGCTGACACTGATATTGCTACATCAGTTTTCGTATCTCAGGTGTTGTTAGTTCGATTTTCAGTGAGTGTCTCACATTAGTGGCCTTGCGCCAAATTGATAAGCTTAATAAATATCTACAGGACACCCCCATGTTACGTCGACCCATATTTACGACCCTTGTGAAATGCACAAATATATTAAGAACGCTATATTGGTGAGGAAGTTGCAAAATAATTTGCAATTGCTGAGGATTTTATCGAAACAGCCGATTAATAACAAAATATTGTAAATAAGCCTGAAGTCAGCTTTTAGAAAGTGTGCGTCATAAACACCTCCAACATAATGGTAAGACATTAGCTAGATGAAGAAACCATTGCCTCTAATGTCTTAACAGGACCGGCGTTAAGGTC